TCAGTAGCTTTGAGTATTTGACGAAGAAGGATTCTTTGGGTAAATATCATTTGGTCTTACTATGTGGAGCCAAAGGCAGTTTAAACAGATTCAGACTTGTTTCACCATTGCAAGGCTTGTTACTCTTCTGTGGGTCTTTCTTTTTTCTTTTTTGTGAGAATGGGGTTTGAACTTGGCTTCACACTTGCAAAGTAGACACTCTACTGCTTGAACCCATCTCCAGTCCATTTTGCTTTGGTCATTTTGGAGATGGAGTCTTGTGAACTATTTGTGTGGGCTGGCCTCAAACCTTGATACTCTGGATCTCAGCTTCCTAAGTAGTAGGATTGCAGGCATGAACCACCAGTGCCTGGCTTCATGGTCACCTTTATATGATTATTTCAGCGAACTTCACAGTTTATAGTAAAATAGTTTTTAGATTTCTCTGGCAATCTTAGAAAGTAGATAGCACTACTTCCATTGCTTTATGGGTTGTTTTATGATTTCCCTCAGTCCCACTGTGTGTGTATAATTTACATTAAAGTGAATTAGAATAATTTTTTTTCATAAACTGAAAACACTTTGTAGACTTAATACTATGTGGATACTAATGACTATCATAGATAAAATCATTATTATGTTCTCCGTCCTCCTTCTGTGCTTCCCAGAACAGTGATGCAATGCCAAGATTTATTTTTCTCTCCAAGAAACTCTTCTGGTTCATTTCTCCTTACTCCCCTATCTCTGACCTAGTTTTCTTCAGTAACCTGTAGCTTTTGTCTTCTCTTTCTTGTGTTTGGAAGTGAAGATGGAGGGCTGAGTTGATATTCCAGCTCTGCCACCCACTAGCATGAGATTTCTATGCCTCACTTTCCTCATCTTTAAAATGGGGTCAGAAGTACAGCAAGAACTAAGACCCTTCACCACTTTTCACTGCTTCTTGTGGTCTCCTCAGTGTGACATTAGTCCACTTAGAAGCGCTTCCATTTGAAAGTTCCTCCAGAGTTCTCCCACCTAGTTAACTACATCTATTTATGTTTTTATTTTTGTTAAACTCATGATTTTGTTGCGCTTCAGTACCTCCTCAAGAAGCCTGTTTCCTATGCTACCCACAACACTTCAAGGCTGAAAATGCATTCCCGCTCAGTGTCCTAGGAGGGAGGTGGGTGTGTGGTGGTTGTGGCTTTGCCTATACCTTGCAGCTCTAGGGATGCCCTCCTAACCTGCCCAGTGTCGGTAATGTATAGGAACTAAAATAAAGCTTATTGCAAGAGACTAAGAAAAAAGGTGTCTTGGGGGGGCCCAGCCCCTCCTGCTGCAGTTGGACAAGAACGGATATAGTCCTCATGCTTGGGTTGAGAAACCTGGGCTGGCTTGTTGCTTTTCCTGCCCTGGGCCTGCTTCACCTCGGGCTGTGTTGCTTTCTGATTCTCTGCTATCTACTGCTTTAGAAGCCACTGGTACAGGCCTAGGCTGCAATAAGGACCACCTGGGCTGTCCATCAGACACAAAGTGTGGTTGTGCCCTGGGTTCCAGGCCCAGGTAACTGAAGGGTGACGGAAGACGTCTGTGGTTTAGGTCACTTACTTAGCAGATGTGACCACCTCCACATGGCCCAGTCTTCTCTACATGATCTTGTGGCTGATTTGGCCAGATGCATGTATGTAAAGCCCACAGTTTTCTCTGCACTTCAACCAATCAGGAGTGTTCTTTGTTGTGCAGGGTATAAACCTGACGCTCATGTCTTGCCTTGTGTGCATTGTGAAAAGCAGTTGTGCCTTACTAAAGTTGTTTCTGAAAACTCCGGTGTGCTCACTAAGCTGACACAGTGGTGTAAGTGTGTGGGAGTCCGGCTGGAGGGTTTCACTGGGCTCTGTTTTCTCAACTACCAAGTGGGACAATGATGATACTTGGATGTTAATGGAGACCTTAGTTATTGTAGTACTTTGAAACTTTTAAAACATGAGACAGCTGTTATTTGTTTGGTACAGGCTGATGTGGGAACTTGAGAGAGACAAGGAGTGAGTCCTGCCTGCAGAGACTTCAGATGTTACTGGAGGAGATAAGACACATGTGGGTGTTTATACAACATGGCTGAAGGTGATTTTCTGTGAGTCTTTGGTGGCTTTAAAGTCCTGGGGAAGGTCAGTGGAGAGGATGCTTCACAGAGAAGATGATGTCTGAGCTTGGCTTTTTGGTGGCCTGTCGATATAACTGGTATGCTGGGGCATTAACTTAATCAGGTACTGGAGAGTGAGCCCTCCCTGGCTGGGGGAGTAGCACGAGGAAAGATGCAGGTCTGGAAACCTGTCAGACTTGGACAATTCACAGTAGTTGTTGAGTTGGATTTGTGCCCTAGGCCAGGGGATCTCAGAGCAATGTTGAGCCGAGGAAGTGTTAAAATCAGAAGAGAGTTTTAGGATGAATAATCTGTCAGCAGTTTAAATGGGTGGAATAAAGAGAGGCAGGAAAGTCTCTTTAATGGAAGACTAGTAGGAAAAGATTGAAACACGGAACCTATTTACCTCCTAGTTACTGTTTTGAAGAGTAAATGAGACAAAGGATGTGGAAGTACATTTGGAAACATGAGTCAGGATGGTTCAGTACCCAAGCTTCCAGCCCTACAGCATTGGTTTACCATGGTGTCAGGTGCCTGTAAGTCCGCCTGACTCTTACCAAGGTGGTGGTATAGGGCTGCACAGCCCAGCTTGTGCTGGTCCCCCACATCCTGCTGCTCTGTGGCTCTCTTTGTTCTTGCTTTTCACTCTTGACTTGGCTTCTGTCCTTGCCCCACCTGCCTCTGAGTCAAGAGACTAGGTTTCCATTCCTGTGCTAAGAATAGCCTATAGTAGAGCCTGATCTATTCTTTTCCTGGATTGTCCCTTCCAGGATCTCTCCCCTTCCTTGCTACTTGGAAGAATCACCTACTAAGACCACCTCATTTGGAAAAGCCCTAATAGGGAACTCTAGTCTGGTCTTGTCACAGTAACAGGCCCAGAGAATAGTGTTGAGAGACATGGGAGGATTACTGAACTACTCTGAGCTTCAGTTTCTTTCCTCCAGGGTAAAAGGAAGAGGCTCTCTCCCTATTTGACTGTGATGCTTAAATGAGGTGATGATTGAAAGGACTTGTTGGTGTCCAGTGAACATTGGTTGCCTGCAGTGTTTTCTTGACCTTCTGTTTCATGTTAAGGAGCTCAATATGTTGTCAGTCTCTATTTGGACAAGTATTTGGACAGATGTTCCTAAGCAGGCTACTACTTACTAAGAAATGTATGAGAAGTCATCCATTTGTTGACCAGGGACCTCCCGTCTGCCTGGTGTTTGGCTGTTGCTTGCATAAACCTTGGTAAGTGTTGGCACAGGAAGCATTCACAAAATCACATGGATGCAAGAGCATTGTAAAGTTAGCCCTGAGCCCTGTGCCATCCTGACTATGTGTTTATAAAGTTCAGATTTCAAGTTTAATGGGATAAGAGAGTCAGAAGGAAACTTAAACTATCTTAGTCACCCCCAACGCCCACTTATGCCACTGCTGGATGGCAAGGTGTGCCTATTATAGGACATTGTGTGGTGGCTTATGACTTTTCATGAGTGTCTCTCCCCAAGGTCTTATTCGGAAGTCCTTTCTTGATGTCTGTGGGCACGAAAGCACTATTAAGAAACAAGGAGTACTCAGTGCCTTACCCATGTAACCTGGACCACAAAAAAATCTACATTCCTGAGAATATCCTCCCTCCCCACTTCCTTCTGTTGTTTGGGAAGGTGACCCTGTGAGGCCTTTTCTGTGACAGGGTCTAGGAAAGTTCAGCAAGGCATCTTCTAATTATCCCTGTCTCCAGGCACACCCCAGTCTTTAAAGCAGTACCAGAGTCAGCTCATTACTTCACCTGGAAAAATGTAACAACTTACTGAGCAACTGGTGGGAACCAGGACCCATAGTAAGCGTGTCGCAACTGTTCTTTTTTTCTGTCATCACCACAAATCTATAATGTAGATGGTATCATTTCCATATTGGAGATCCAGGCTTTGGAAGGTAAGTGATTTACCAGCTATGAGTTACACAACTATGAGTGGCATAGTCAGGGTTAAATACAACTCATGTTAGAACCCAGGCACTTAGCTTTCCCCAGGCTGAGTGCGATGTAGGAGAGAGTTGCCTGTGGGGGTACCAGCATGTAGTCCCTGTGCCTGTGACACACACACACTCCGTACACATTTGAGGGGACAGGGGAGCCAGCTGGGCCAGGGGCTGTCAGGGGAGGCTCAGCACCAGTCCCTATGCCTGCTGTGAGAAGGAGGACACAGCTGTACCCTGTGGCCATGTAGACCAGGAGTGTGGAGAGTCTTCCAGATCTAAGTGTGACCCATGTGGCCACAGCGTTTTCAGAGTGATGCTGTCTTCAGTTTGATTTGGGTGAAGCCAAGTCCTACAGTCCCTTCTTTCCAACCCCCATCCACCCCCCATCTCCTGTTGGAGATGCAGTTCTGAGTATTTGTCTTCCAAATGTTATCTGCTTGGGCTGCAGTTTCAGCTTATGTCTTTTTTTCCTTAGTGGATTTGGAAAATGGCTGATTTTTGCCCTCCAGAGATCTATTAGTAGTGTTCTAAAAAGGCTTATTTCCTACATTGACTGTGCTTGACCCCACCCTTCTACTAGCCCTTCCCCTAAATTAGACCAGCTGTGTCCAAGTTTACTCAGACATTTGGGCTCCAGTTCTTGTTCTGCTCCTTTTTTCCTTTGATGGTGGTTCATTTCTTTCGAGAGCTTTCCCTCCAGCTGAATCCCTGTACTGCCCAGTGCCGGCCAGGCATACCTCTCTAGTACTCAGTTTTAATGTGAACTGGGTATGTGCTCTGAGTGCTGTCCTCACTGCTATCCCCACCTCCTGTCCTGGTGCTTCATGACTTAGGTAGATGGCACTTAAGATCAGGAGCAATGGTGAGAGAAGGGTGGGGTGAGAAGGGTCCAGGCATCTGTTTTTTCCATTCATTTGGAACAATCTGTTTTGCTTCTCAGGTACCCAAATAAGCTGTTTCTCCCCAAGTTCTTTCTCCTGGCGTCAAGCTGCCTTCGTGGATTCTTACTGCTGGGCTGCTGTGCAGCAGAAGGCTTCCTTGCAGAGTGAGTCTGGAAACCTGCCACTGTGGCTGCACAAGGTAATGGTAGATACTTTCAAATCCATCCTGTTTGCTTTATAGACATGGAAGAGGAAGCCTGGAGAGGCTGTGCCCATCCACAGCCATACAGAGGTGTGTGGCCAACCAGGGCTCTTTCTTTGATCACAAAACCTCAAAAGGAACCTCAGAGCTGACTTGGTCTGGCACCTTCACATAGCAAATAGGGAAGTAGGTGCTCTTTGGATTTTAGCTCCACAGTGTCAGGCACCTTATGTGTCTTCAGCTTTGTGTCATTGACGCCTAGCAGAATGTCTGGCCCCTAGTAGGCTCTCAATCCTCAGAAAGAGCAGAGCTGGGACTCAAGCACAGCTCCTTGCCCAGTGCCTTTTCCACCACACACGAGGTCTCTTAGTTGAGTTGGTTCGAGCTGCTGTGTTACTGGTGTGTCTGGAAGCCTCGTGTTGACTCGTTGGAGGTGCTGACTACAGCAGAGTTTTGGACTGGATTCCTTTGCAAATACTGCACGGAAGCAGAGCTGCTACGTAAGACACATCAGGGTCTAGGTTATGTATCCTACAGAGGAGAGATCTAGGAGAGGACGGACAGTGGAGCGAACATACTTAGAAACTGGGTGGTCAGGAACTAGAGCTGTACTTAGCAAGTGTGTGCAGAACATTCTCTAAGTAGTGAAATGACTGCATTAGGTCTTCTCTGGGTACCTGAAATTAGGACTCTGTTTTAGCCTATAATTAATCTCAACCACTGTTTTTTTTGTCCTTCATGAACACAAGTAAAACATTTGTGTATCTTCTGGCATTCTGATCTGCTGAGGAGAGTACAGAATCTTAGCTTCTAAAAAACCAAAGGCTAAAGTTTATTTTGAGTCTCTCTTGCTTTGATCTGCCGTGGACTCTAGGCAGCACCCTTCTTTTTAAAGAGAGCAATTTTGGCTGTCTGTGACTCGGTCTGTTTTCTTCCGTGTTTGTCTATTGCATGCAGTTTGGTATAGTCATGCCCTGCAGTGACTCCTGTTTTTATTTGTGTTAGGCTTTTCTCTTTGATTTTCAACCTTAGCATTTGGTGGGGGTCCTCATCAGCTTTGTGTCGCTTAGTAGCCAGGACAACACATTATAAGGATCTGTGGGACAAGTAGGCACAGTTCCAGAGTTTGAACAGCTTTGTAAATCTCAATGCATGCTATTGTGGGCTGGCAGAGTGGCTCAAGTGGTAGAGTACCTAGCAAGTGTGAGGCTCTGAGTTCAAACCCCAGTACAGCTCCCCCCCACTAAAAAGAAAGGATCTTAATACACACTGTAATTTAGGTCCATGTGTTACTTACAGAAATGTAAAGTTGTAACCAGTCACTGGACTGAGCATTGTAAAAGAATAGATAGCTGGATTACTTGATTTAAGAGTTGACGGGGATGTTAATGAGTGAGATTTTTTTGGAGTGAGAAGAAACTCAAAGATTTTTATACAAATGCCTTTTACATATGTAAGGGGAACTCTCAGAAATCAGGCCCAAGAATCATAGGACTAGTTGTCAACTAAATAGATTAGAACTCAGGTCGTAGACTCTCAAACCAGTGTCTCCCCAGTGGAAGAAGGGGGAATCTGGTAGCAGTGTGGGGGTAGCCATGCCTTAGGTTCCTGGTATACTGAGAGATTGCCTGGTAGTGGGAGACTAGCTTGTTTGCTTGGGCATGTGACTGAGTGTCTGAGCAGAGCTCTTGCCAGATTCATATGGCTGGGGACAGAAATTGAAGTTGGGACATGCTAGGTTGGAAAGACCCTGGTCAACACCCACAAGCTTTTGGTTGAGACCCTTAAAGGCCATTTGTTAGGAGTAAAGGGTAACCTAACATTAAACCAGCCCTCATAGGGACTACAGTTCTGATTTGAATCATTTCAGTACCAGTAGAATGAAGGAGGTCTGGCATTGCTGGTGTCTCTAGTCTACCTGCCTGCTATAAGCAAAACTGAATCCTTTCTGGAGGAAGGTGACATTGTGTAGAGCCTACATGCATGCTCTGACTTTCCACATGGCTGTTTAGCATTCACTGAGAAATACCAAGTATGTGAGAAAAATCAGAAATTGAAACAGACCCATGTGAGATCCAGATCAGGCATTCATTTTAAATAATCATTAGTAACTGGTAATAATTAAAGAATTATGATAATGTGGGGAATTTCACCAAGAGTTGGACATTGTGAAGAATTAAAGTGACAGGAGAGTTCCTTTTAGCTGACACTGATGGAGGGTCGTCTAATGCTACGAAAGTAGACATGGAAGAGAACACAGAGGGAGAATAATTGGAAAGTTAGATGGGAAAGAGAGAGAGTGGTTTTCCTAGAAACCGAGGGAAGTGTTTCCAGACAGAGCAGTGTGGCTCTGTTACATGCAGTCACTGCATTTAATGAAATCACAGGAGGAAATTTGGGGAGAACTAGCAGCCAGATAGTTGTGGGTAAAAAGTGAATGAATGGGAGGTGAGGAGATGAAAATGATGGAAATAGAAAATTTCTTCAAAAAATTTTTTTTCCTTTTCAGAAAATCTCTCTTCCTGATCAGTGGAAGAGTAAGTAACAAGCTGGGTGGCAACTGGAGGGAAGGTTTGGGGTCCAGGAAGATTTGTAATATGAGAGTTTTGAGGAAATACTCACGGAATAGGAAGGTAGAGAAGAGGCTGAAGTGTACAGCCATACCACACTGAACGCACCCGATCTCGTCTGCTCTTGGAAGCTAAGCAGGGTCGGGCCTGGTTAGTACTTGGATGGGAGAAGAGGCTGAAGATAACTGGGCCCAACAAGCACAAAGACACTTGCCTTTGAGTATGGGGGTGGGGCGGGACATAGCACTTTACTATGAAAGAAGCTTGTCCTGCTGGGAAGCAGTGGGGTCTTGACTGGCTGGGAGGGAAGCTGGGTTATATAGGACCTGTGAAAGCTAAACAGGTGCATAGGCTAAATACTGAGACACTGGGAACCATTGCAGGTTCCTAAGCAGGTGAACTTGCTGGTTCCAAGAGTTAGTCCTCAGAAGTGGTGTGCAGGAGAGAGGAGAAACAGGGAGAAAGCCACTAGCTAGGCACAGAGGGATGGTTCTGATCAGGGAATGCAGGGATATTTCTGAGAAGGCAAAGAGCAAACAAAAAACAATACTTGATGTCTCATTGCTTATTAGAAGGTTGCACTAAAGGATCGGCAAAGGGAACATCAAGTGCTTAGGCTAGGGAACAGCAAATGTCCCTCCCTGTGGAGGGCCAGTGTCTTGACATTGCAGGTCATATAGTCACTGTTGTAGCGACTCAGCTCCACTATGGTAGAGACTATGTACAGGAACTGGTTGTGACCAGACTTGGCTTTTTGGCAGCACTTTGTAACCCCTGGGTAGCATGGTAGCAGTGGTAGGAAGTGGATAGATTCTAGTTGTTTGAGATGGTGAAACCAACAAGATGTGCTAATTGGACATGAGAGGTTGAGGGAAAGATTGGAGTCAAGGACACAACCAAGTTTTCAGGCACTAGGTAAAGTTAAGGCTATTAAAATACTACTTTGATGAAGCCTGGTGAAAGAGAAGGTTTTGGAAGAAAACCAGGTAGCTCTGCTTGGTCATGTTAAGTTAGAGATGCTCCCATGGCTCAGAGGACATGCCAAGTAGGTAGTAGGGTATGGTGTCTGGAGATGACAGTGTGGGTTGGAGCAGTCTGTCAGGAAATAGATAGTATGGAAAGCTGTGGGACTGGAGGGGTCTACTAGGGAATGAATATAGACGGGGCAAGATCTGAGGCAGTCTTTAACATGGAGAGTTGATGGAGTGGGAGGAGTTGGCAGAGAAGACAAGAGAGTTGGGGGGGTGAGGAAAACAAGAAGGGTATGCTGAGCGAATGAAGGGCAGGTATTCTGTAAAGCAGCCTGTGTTGAAATGATAATGTGCCAAATGCTGCCGAGAAGGTGAGGAAGGAGAAGGCTGAGACTTAGAAGAGTGTTACATTTGGAGGGTGTCATGAATTGAAGTGTATCTCCTAAAATATATATATTGATGTCTTAATCCCCTGAGCCCTAGAATGTGACCTTATTTGGAAATGGAGTTGTTACAGATGTGGTGTGTTAAGATGAAGCCATCCTGGAGTAGGGTGGGTCTTTGATCCTCTTACAAAGAAGAAAACTGGACATAGACATGCTCAAAGTGAAGACAATGAATGTGAAGACACTCATGGAGAGGATGGCCATGGATATTGGGAGACATGCTGCCAAAGCCATGGAGCACTGGAAGAGTTAAGGAAGGACTCTTCTCAGAGACTTTGGACTTCCAGTCTCTGGAACTGTGAGAGAAGAGATTTCTGCTGTTTTAAATCATTCACTTTGTGGGATTGGTTGTGACAGCCCTAGAAAACTAATACAGGTGTTTAGAAATCAAGATTTAGCCTAATTGGAAAAGTAAACCTATGCCAGATGTGAACATCAGTGTGGCTCTCTTAGCCAGGCCAGAGTTGGTAATCACAGCTCCTTTATTTCTACTTTGGTCTTTTTCAGTTTTCTCTTCTTTTGTAACATAACATAACATACATATCATAAAATTTGCTTTCTTAATCATTTTTAGGTACACAATTTTGTGGCATTAAGTTTTACAACCATCACTCCTATCCATCTCTTGAGCTCTTTCCTCTTCCCAAATTGAGACTCTGTACCCATCAAACAAGCTCCTAGCAACCATGATTCTACTTTGTGTCTTAAAGAATAATATGTCTACTGTAGATACCTCATACAAGTAATTATACATTTGTTTTTTGGGTCTGACTTCTTTTAACATAATATTTTCGAGGCCCATCTATGTTATAGCATATATAATCTTAATTCCTTCTTATGGCTGAATAATATCCCATTGTAAGTTTATACCACATTTTGCTTATCCATTCATTCATCAGTAGACCCTAGAATTGCTTACCCATCTTGGCTATTATGAATACTGCTGCTGTGAACATTTGTCTTAGTCCTTACTTCTCAGTTCTTCTGGGCATATACTCAGAAGTTGAAGT